CCCCCCCCCCCCCCCCCAATAATGTCTTCTTTAGGGAACCAATGTTTTAATATTGTTGTCTACACTGTCTTGACTTACTGTAAAGAATAATTACCTCAACTGAACATGTAATTAACACAGAGTTGTTTTGAGACACTCCTTCCTAACCTACGTAACTTGCTTTCACTTTGAAGAGCCTTAGTAAAGCACATTAAGGGAAGACTTTGCATCTTGGAAGGCAAGATGCAAACTCTTCAAATTTCCCAAGAAGTTACAGGCCCAGACTCATTTCCCCATAAGCAGCAAGTGATTTCATTAGCATCAACTGCAAGACCAGACAGCTTGAGGCAACATCCTTGATCAAGTTACACATCTAGATATTGTATCTTTAAAAAACCAAAACACAACAACAAAAACCAAAAAACCAACACACACCACCACAACAACAACAAAATCAAATCCAAAATGTCCAGCATACAACTTAGTAGGGGTTTAACAAAGGTGCTTGCTCCACTGCACCATAGTAAGCAATCCAATGCACAGTACGCTGTATCAGAATTACACTTTTATACCAGAACAGCAAAACCACCACCACCACATACAACCACACAGCCCAGAACAATGGGCTATAAATATTCCCAGGAAAGAACATGATGCAACTAGGCATGAAAGTTTAAGACTCTCATCAAATTTTGTATCATGTGTAATGTTCACTTAAAAGCTCTTTTCTTGAGGCAAACCAACTGATCTACTACTTGCTCCCCACTATTTAGCTTTGGATGTAACAAGGCTAAAACAGCAACTCTTTAAAAATCTTTACAGTAAAAACCATTATACTGTAAAGTATTCTCCTATCTAAATAACAAGCCCTACTATACGTAGGCCTAAAGAAAAAAGCCCTATATATATACTTACTGATCAAAGAACATCCAACTAATGCAATCTTGCCTTTAATGAAACACCTGTAACTTATTACTAAGTAAGTTACAAGTTCTGCTGCTGTCAAATGCTTAAAACATTGAATAGATACATTCAAATTGATGCCACTTTTGCTTTTCCTATTTGGAATCATCTATGAAAATCGGCCATTTTTACTCGTGTCTCATGGTAGGCAGTTCACACCCAGAACTACCTTATGTCTGACTGAACCACATAATAACAAGTCAACATATAAAAAGTGCATTTAGCCAAGCAAACGTATTGGCTAAATGTCAATTAACTAGAGATGCAAACATACATTCAAGTTATGTACTATAAATCACAGTAATTAATACGGCACTTCAGCTGAGTCTTAGACTAAGAGAATTAGACTTTATCTTTTACTCTGTTTTGATACTTAATATCTACCATTTAGTATCTCTTTTCCTATTGAATGCATAGAACCGATTTAAAAGACTGATCATCAGGACTAAGGAGGGCTGAACACTAACTTAAAAGGTAAAAATCTCAGCTCCTGCTAAGCTTCTGACTCTCTCTAAGTTTATAGTAAATTATCAGATAGTGTGGCTAAAAATCCTACGAGATGACTTAAATAGCTCAGATCATCAGCCTCCCCTATCCTGCCTGTAAACTGAAGTTCATCCTCACAATATCATATCACTTACTGAATTCATTAACTCCAAATGAATTATAAAAGTACTTGTTCTATTATTTTAACAGAATCAGCAAAAATTAATTTTAAATTCTAAAAAAAATTTGTACTACCTAGCAGGTCAACTAAAATTTTACAAAGTAAGTTTGGTTTTGTTAAAATGAAAACGGACAAAATAAAAAATGATTGTGGTTTCCTAAATAAGTCATGAATGCCTTTAAGGGACTTAAGGCAGCTTAGCACTGGACAGCAGAAAGTGTCAACCCCACCAAGCAGCCCTATTAAGCCGTGTACACTTCTAGGCCACATCACATACTTCAGATTTTTCTGGAGGCATATGAAGCAGGTGGCAGGACCTTATCTACGTGTCTTTTTTTTAAAGAAATCTTAGTACACACACTTGCACATACCCCAGTACTTCAGAGACATGATCTGAAAATAAAACGTTGAGTTTAGGAGGATGACTTCCTCCCAAATTATGAATTTTGTAGTAGAGCATGAAACTATCACCTGTCCATCAAGAAACCCACAACACATTTTGCTAACAGTTGGACAGAACTCCTGACAAGTTAGGCCAGTTGAGTTTTGAAATGCCATAAACGGTAGGAGAGGTAATTTCAGAAAATAAAGAGACTGTAATAGGTACTTCACTACACGCCTCATCTAGTTATCAAAGGCCAAAAAAACCTCAAAACATCATGTAACTGTATTACCTAAGTTTAGCAATTTTTCTCGTTGTCAAAACAAACCCAAAACCACAACAATACACACACCCAAATCTACAGCCAACAAATCAGAAATAGAATTCCCTCTCAAAACTATGCTAGATTGCTTTAAATCCCAATTACGTATTTCTTAGGAGCCAGGACTATCTCCTGCAATGGAATAGTTTTAAGAGATCAGTGTGAGGATATGAGTAGTCTATACTATGAAGGAAAAAAGTGATGGAGCTGTGAAATTTTTTTCCAAAAAGTGGACTTAGTAACCCTCTCATCACAGAACAAGTAACCTGAACATTTTCCATCTTATCTTCAATGGCTTACTGGAAGTAATCTAGTTATTATAAAAGCTACATTTATTATTACAAAATTTAGCAATGTTCAAACAGATTGAATTATTTCACAGTGATAAGAAAAGAGGCAGTGGTGACAACCTTTAATAAACTATGTGGAACTGCAACAATTCTGATATAACATTATCTTAGTAATGATAAAGTCAAGTAAAAGGCATTGATTTACCAAACCTTGTATGCTGAAGGCTATCAAAATTGCAGGAACTGTGTATACACTCTTAAGTCTGTACAGTTGATATATACTTAGTTTATAATCTTTACTAAGGAAAAAAATCTTTTAACCTTTACTCACCTGACATATTTTCCCTTTTCCTTCGTTGCAACAGCACTGCCCTTTCTTTATCTAAACTCCTGAAATTAAAAAATAAGTTTTTTCCATTCATCACTTTCACATCAGTTCACCTAAGTATTAAACCAGACCTTTTCACAGTTACCATTTTCCACTGACTATTACCAAAGAAAGACTAAAATAGCTGAATGTTTAGATACGTAGAAAAACATCAGTTGTGTACTGTTCCATCCCATTTTAATTCAAAGCACATACAAGTGTCTAAATCACTTGAAAACATAATGAAACCCGATACTCAGAAGAAAGACTGACAGTTGGTCCATGGATTACAGATAATCAGGCATTAAGCCATTTTCCTGCAGATTCTTCAAAACAATCGTCACAATACAACACAAAACAAATATTCTATGACTACAAGGTCCAAACTATTTCTCAGAAAGAAAAGCATCATTATTGGTAATTAAAGTGTTCTGAACTCGTCTGTTAATTAAACAGTGAATAAAAATCTGCAACATAAGTAACAGGTAGCATTTTATACTCTCCGTCACAGGACAACTAAGATGACAGTCAGGTATAATCTACCTGCCACACAGTGAGAACAAAACGCCTTCCCTGTCATGTCACATGACTTCAGGTTTGAGGGGAAGCATACAAATACTCATTCCAGAGCAAGAAATCCTCCAAGTGAGCACTGCAGCATATTGGAATGGGGCCATAAAAACAAAAGACACTGAGAAATACTGGTGGGACAGTTGACCTGAAAACACTGCTGTTAAGGGTTCTCAAGGCGTGACAGCCACTAAACAAAATATGGAAGGGATTGTCTATGTATCAGTCAGCCCAAGAAAGGATCCAGGAATCACTGCTACTTCAATTATGCGTTTCAAGAGTTTATCCCTGATGCCCGGTGAGGTGAAACAATGACTACTGTGAGCAAGGGAATGGAAACTGGTAAGATCACCTGCATCAGAAATGTAGCTCCTTTAACTAGAACTGTCAGGATTATGCTACATGGTCTGCATTTTGATCTGTTGACTGTTCCAGTACCTCCTCTTTTTATACTCTCTACTGAACATAGTCGTTTAGACTTCAAAATCAACCAAACCACTCACCTTGGTTGACAACGTTCACACAGATATATGTCAGGAATATGCTGCCTGTCAATCCCCATACAGTCAATGTGCTGCCAGACACTTCAAAGAAAAACACAAAAACACACACCTTTTTATTTTAAATGCAACTTTTTAAATTATGTGCATAACACACACACACACACAGAGAGAGAGCGAGCCATTCTTTTTTTCATCATGATCTTTACTCAGATTTAATACTGCCTAAAACTATATCTCAATCACTGTCTTCGCCACCACTCTGCTAGCTGATTTTCTATTCCACTGATCACTGTAATTCCAATCTTGTGGCTGTCTCCCGGTGTGTCTCTGCTTCTTTAGACTCATTTTCCCTCTTGGAAATTTTTCTCTAACACTGGAAATAAAAAATGGTAAATTATCACAACAGAGAACAAGATAGAGACAAATACCCTTAGCAACCAGACTTACGCTTTACATAGTAAGAGGAGTTTTGTTTTTAAACAAAAGGATTCATTTTCCTTTAATAAATATATACATATTATTTTTCTCTATAAATACAGATATACATAGTTTTAGTTACTTAAATATTTTAACAGAACACATAAATATATGCTTTTATACACACCCCCCACATGATAGATAGTACAGTTGTGCAGCATAGAAGAGCTTTAATTGCTTCCCACAGTCAGAGAAGAGAGGCTGCTTGCTAGACTGAGGGCTAACCTAGGACAGCAGTTTATGCTTATCCCCACATTGCTAGAAGGAACTGAGACACAAACATCATTGTTATCTTCCCACTTGTGAATTTATCACAACCCTCTCCAACTCCTCACAGAGAATCTCTCCTTCAAAAGAAGCAGACTATCTAACTGGTGACTGCCTACAGCTCCATTGCTGAAAGAACATCACGGGAAAATGTTATCAGAATCAAGGACCACAAAAAATTAGTAACGAGCTTGTTACATAAGCAGACAGAAGAATGAAATTCAAATTAAAGTTTTAATTAGCCATAACAACCATTTTAGAAAATACACAATGATCTAATAAATTCAGCAGTGTTCATTAAGCATATTGAATGTAAAAATACAGGCTAACACCGAGCAAGTCCACAAACATGAGGTCTGTCTTCTCCTGTTAAGTACATGAGCTCTAAAAATTTGTAAGGTCCTTTTTCTGAGCCCAAATATTTAATAGCACCCACTTATTTTACTATGATCAAGTAGGTGCTTACGCACAAACACAGAATTTTAACCCTTTAACTACAGGCTCTCCAGTAAGAATCTAGGTTAGTCTTTTTCACTTTGAAAAACTGTTTGACAAACTACCCAAGATGCAGAATAGATTCTACATTCCACCCCTTAAACCTACATCTTATCAGAAAGATCATGCACACAGAAACACAGATTTGAGAAGTTTCTTTCAGATTATTTTGCATCCTGTAAATTACCTGATTTACATATACATAATTTACCAAGATGCAGATTAAGAACCAATCCCTAGGTCTAGTTCACCATACTAATAACTAACTTGGACAAAATACCAAAGATATACCCTTACTAAGCAACAATGCACAAGTAAAGGCATGAACAAATTAATATCAGTGGTCAAGACAGATTGGAATAAAGTATAAAATACTCAATGGCCTTAACCAACTACCTTGCTTATTAGAAAACCATACAACCTTCAAATACCGTTTTGATGGAAGGAAATTCCCTATGACTCAACATAATTAGAACACCCTTTAGTTACCCTTACTTTCACAGTGCAGCTTGAAGTTTTAAGTAACTTTTAAATCATTTCAATATTCATTACCTGCATTTATCACAACAGATCATATATCCATCATCATGTGTAAAGCCACAAATGCATCTGGTAATATCAGTTCCATAGCTTCCATCCTCTGATGTACTGATGGTAGTAGCACTGGAGGTTTCATCAAAGTTGGGAGTGGTAAATATGCCTACTTCATTCTTGCTTATAAGTACTGATGGAGGAGGAGAAGCTGGAGGCGTTGGAGGAGGCCGAGCACCATAGTTATGGTCCTAGATTTTTGTGGAAAGATAAGTTACAGCTCTTAAATGTTCACACACTGATCATTATTTGAGCCAAAGTATAAGAATTCCCTTTGTAAAGAACTTCAGAGACTTCTTAATTTTTAGTAATAGTTTAAAATTTTGTTTCTGTATTTGCTCATTCTTGTTTTCTACCTTCTCAACTATGTTTTACATGTAAGTGGACTATGTTCTGTATTCTGCTTCTAATCAACCATCTTTAGCCAACTTACCCAACTCCCAATAAGATATAAAAATGTACGCATGATTCACGAGTTTTCCAGTTAAGAGCAGCAGATTTTACATAATCTATTTTATACAGAATACTTAGCATGAAACTTACTGCATAGGGCAAACCAATGTAACTGTGTGAATGCGAGCTGCTAGTATACAACTGGTGCGGATAACTGTTCGATTTTTCAACTACCACAGGGCTAGCTTCTACAGATTCTGGTCTGCAAGGCAAAAGACAGAAGAAGAATAAATGCAATTAATATGCAATTTGTATCAATAAATTACACGTACATTTAAAATGAAGCTTCCCAAGTGGCAGAGAACTTATGCTTCTGTAGAATTACAGAATTTTTCTCCAAAAAAAGTCCATGCTGAATCATGTGACATAACCTGCAAATCTGGGACAGAAAAGTGTGTTACACACTTTGTCCGGGAGTCATCAATCTGTATGTCCAAGTCTACAGGTTATAACAGAAGCTGCAAAAAGGACTTCAGCTTAATTAGGACAAGATAAAAGCAGCAGAGGTGCAAACCGACATAGCCCTGCATTACCCCCAACCCAATTCCATTCTGCAATGACATCTAGTGGCAGCAGTACTGCACCACCCGCAACCATCCACACGAACCCGTACACAAGGCAGCAGAGTACCGTTTCTGCAAAGAGAAATCCTAAGTAGGTCAAATCTATCTAAGAAAGCCAGTTTATCAATTTATCTTCAAATAGAAAGAAAAAAAATATAGAGGTTTGCGAGAGAAGCTTTGTAGTGAAAGGCACTGCCTTTTTTGAATTTACAAATGATAGTTTATATGCACTAAACCACAACATGAAAGACAAGAAAGACAAAGGAATACTAAAAAAGGAAGATCTTTTTAAGCACAATAAATTATACCTTTATTATCTTACATTCATGTGTGCATGCAAGCATATATATACTCCCATTACTTTTAGTCAGTAACTTGTCGCTTTTCCATTGCACCGTATGATTCAATCACACTAGGACAAACTTCAAATGAATCTAGAGTTACCTGAAGTTTCGGGGGTTTTTTCACATTCAAAGATAGGGCAAAATACCAGTATTTAAAACTGAAGTGGCTTTTGATTTGCACCACAAATCAAACCTGGTTCACTTTTCCGATTTTACTTTTATTATGTATGAAGTCTATTTCCCACCACAAGTATCTTAACAATTCCTTGAACTTATTTTTTAAATAAAGTTGGTATTTCTGAATCTTAAGTTAAAACAGATACCAGTGGGTTTTTTTAGACATTAAGATATTAAACAGAGGCTTTTTTGTTACGCCATGAGGCGGTACTAGTTTGATTTCAAAGGACACTAGCAACTTACACTTGTTGATAACACTTTTTGTAAGAATATAATTAATCATCAGCTTTCTGAAAACAACATACAGTATTTTCACATCTACTTGAAAAGTGACCTAATAATGTTTTGGTGGTCCATTTCTTCTCATTAGCTTTGCCCCATGTGAGGTTACTGCATGATAAAATTGTTTAAAAGGAAATACTAGTTAAAAACACTACTGGGTGAAGACTTTGATTTCTACAGTCCAAAGAAAAGACATTGTTTTAAAAACCTTAATGTCTCTAACAGTCACCAGCTGCATTTTTTTAGAGAGTGAGCAAACACATGAGTGCACAAATCATGTGAAATACTAACATTAGAAATACAACTTCTGACTAGCATGAGACAAAAACGAACTCTGACAACGCTTGCCCTTTGTTGTCTCATAAACCCATAAAAATCCTCATTTACTCTCTTACACCACCTCTCAACTTGAAAATAATTTTATCAGAGTTTGTTGAAATCATCTTCTAGAAGCAGCTCAGAATTTGCCAGGTTCAAACCCATGACATTTGAGGAGGGGAAAAAAAAAAAAAACCACAACCAACCAAAAGTTGGAAAAGCTATGCCTTTCCAACAGATTGGCCTTTACCTATTTACTGACATAATGCATTTGTGCAGTAATCATACACTATTAATGTCATCCAGCTAATCCTTCCAACAATCTAGCCAATCAAAATGTCAATGAATGAGGCATTGACTATCCATCCATCACAGCCAGAACAGACATTAACTCATCCTTCTCCAGTTCAACAGGGTCTTCACCACTGTACTACTCCTACTGCTATTCTTGAACATTCCCTGAATTAGACAAGCAGTAGCACAGTTACTCTTATCCACTATGAGTTTATTGCTCAAACTAGGTCTTGTTTGCTTCAGCATACAGAAAACATTCCGTTTTCACAGCAGGAAGGCTTACTGATAGAGGGGGGCCAGGAATTCACGCACAATCCATCCTTCAACAATGCCAAAATTGATTGAGGAGAGTTTCCTTTATTAAAAATACTACCACAATCTAAATACCCGCTACTTTACCGTGGGTGCATTCAGTGAAAGGTATCAGAATGGAAACTCCTAAAAAGACAAGTCATGCGTATTTCATCAACTAACTGCAAAAATTAAAGAGGTATTCTAAATCTCTGGCTAAACATGAAGACAACACACCCTATTCCCTAAATCCAATTCTACCTATTCCAGCAATTTATAAACCACTTAAGAGAACCAAGTTTAACATTTAGAGGCCTAACAGTTGTGAGAAGCAGAAGCATTAAGCTTCCAAAAACAAAATACAGAAAACAAATGCATCTACCCCCCCAACTACTTTAATATTCATAAAACAGATTCAGAGTACAGGGTTAAAAAGGAAAAGCACAGCTTTACTTGAGCATGGGAAGCCAGAAAAAGGGTAGGAGAAAATTAGGTGAGACACACAGGCAATTAAATCTTTGTATTAAAAAAGTTGTAACATAAACACAAAATTAGAGCAGAATTAGCTTTCAGCAAAGCTTTTTTCAAATGCTTATCCAGGGCAGCCACAGATACTTCTTTAAATTATAACAGGTACTCACCAGAACGTTGAATGTAACTGTTACTGCGCCATTTATCTACTCAAATGCTAGACTAGGGTGGGGAACAGTGTGGAGGGGACTCAGAAATATGGGAAGGAGGTGGTGAAACATTCACTGAAGCTAGAAATTAATCACTGGAGGTTTCCTTTACAGTCAACAGAAAAGTGATATTCATCCCATAAGCAGAACAGAATGAGTATAATTTCTCCACAGAACTACAGACAACCTTCTAACTTTGGCAGACAGGTCTGCCAACACTTTAACATGCCCTTCACCGAATTCCTTGTTACCCCTCTTCTGCCCATCATGTGCATGACCCTCACCTTAAAGAGAAAACACAGCCCCTATACTGTCAGTTCTCCAAAGGTCAAGGCCGTCTCAAACAGGCATCCTGGAACTGGAGAGTTCTGTGAGGGAATATCTCTTTGTAAAATATTTAATTGTACAGATGATTTAAAGCATGAGATACCACTTAATTTAAAAATCTTTTTTTTTTTTTTTTTTTTTTTTTTTAAGTAGCAGGGCTCAAGTAGCGAGGCACTAGCTACTGTATTATAGACACCCACCCTAATCTCACCATTGGCATTCTTATGGGCATCCCAAAAAGCAAGTTTTCAGGAAGAAAAAGTGTAAGCATTCAGATCTGAAAGAACACTACAAGGTTTTCCTTGCTTGTATTTTTGAACATAAGCCAGTTTTGTAACACACTGAGGTACTAAGCTTGTCAGTCTACTGAGCATACCACATTTTTCAGCTTCACCTCAAACAACTGCACCCTTAGTGTCTAAGATATTCATGGTACTTTTAGTTTTCATAAAAACTGAAATACTTGTATTACAATATAGTATATTTGAAGTTAGACCAAAATCACAGTATTATGCCCTAAAATAAAGATATATTACCATGACAAACTGACCATGACATTTTGCTAAAATGTCGTATGTGTTTGTTAAGTGTTGTGGTTTAGCAATTCAAAACTGTGCAAAATAGTCACAGGGAATAAAATAAAAAGCACCACAAAAAAGCTTCCCTCATGCTCTTGGGCTGCAATGATTTAAGACATTCCTGCAACTTGAAAACAGGAACACAGTATTTTCTCACATGGATTAAAAAAGCAAATATACCTGTCTTCTTAAAAAAACCTCAAATAATTTTCATTCTGCAAGTGAAACAACTCTCATGTTCTGGTCCATTTCCTACTAGTTGTATTTAAAAGCACAATGCAAACTGAAATTATTCTGCCTGTTGCCAGCAGATGGCATTAGTGAGAAATTAAATAAGCAACACATGCGATCAGACAGATTACACAAACTCAGCCCCTACAAGCTTACAGTTAACCTGTATTAAGGTAACCAACTATCAACCATTCTAGGCAACAGTCAATTCTTCTTAAAAAAAAGCCCCATCTCCTCCATGCCATTCTTTTTAAATACTGTTTTGTTTCTGACCATGTAACAATTAAGAAAAAAAAAACACACACACAACAGGGAGTGTTTTTTGAATAACACCCCAAATACAATCAGTCCTTAGAATTTGGGACCATCAACCAGTTCTATAAAAATCTAGGTATTCAAATGGGAAAGAAAATCTCACTAAACCCAAAATTGTCAGAGGCAGGTGGGCATCCAAGCTTTAGGCCTTGAAAACTTAGCTAACAGTCCTTCCTCAAAACATCTGTCAAAATGCCAAATGACACCTCTTGCTTCCAAGCATGCTTCAGTGGCATTGATCTGCCATACATCAGTTTGACAGGTCTGATTTTCAAGGAGTTGAGGTGTATTCCCTTTCCACCAGCATACCTGAGCAGTATCTGGCTGAAGGTCAGCTCAGATACAGGAATGTAATATATTTTGTATGAAAAACAGCGTTTTCTATTTCAAGACACTTCATCTAACCAAACACATCTGATGGGCTTCATTACCTAGACAACAAAGAACTGAGCACTACTTCTCTACCACAGAGTGGGTTCTGCTACCTAAGCATCTCGTTGCAGGCCCTAGAAGTATAGGCTAGTTTGATACCATCTGTGGGAACTTGCAAGCTTCCCATTGTCCTAAAATACTTTGGAAAATAAATTAAAAAAATCCCCGTTTCAACAAGAATCATGGGAGGGTAGGTGTTCATCTATTTAAGACTACAATAATGTTCATAATCTTCTCCCCTGGATATTGAACTCAACACAATGATCCATATACTGTGGTGGTTAGGCTCATTTTACAGGCCTTCTCTCTAAAAAACACACAGATATTAAAAACAGGAGAGCAGTACCATCAATGGCATTTCCCAATGTGCACCTTATACTCATGCTCTAAAGCTAGACTAACGCTCTCTTAAATCAGGAAGCGCATTCTGAACTTTCCGAAATGGCTCAGTCGCTTACTAATACAAGGTCTTTAACAGTAAGAAGTCACACATACTCATCTTCAGTAAGCCTTCTACAAATAAAGGCAAAATACATGTGTGTTTGACTACTATGGCACTATGAAGATCAAACTACCACTGGAGAGTTCACCTAGGTACAAGTGACATAAGAGACAAACTATTTCACCCAATTTTTAAGATGTTCAGACCTTTTAATAAGAGTTGTTCTCCACATAGCTATTTGCTACAATTATTAGAATAACACGTGAAACTATGTAATCACATGAACTATCCACCTTTTAACAGGCTTATCCCTTAGCTTGAAGCATAAAAAAAAAAATAAAAAATCTCAGCACTAAGAGTTTGCACTAAGCTAAGAGTTATTTCCTAGGCTCCTCCTCCTACATAATCAGGTTTGCCATTCCCCCATTCTTGTGTTTGCTCATGCTTCAGCAACTGATGAAGCAATATGAGACCTATCAGTCACAGTGAAGAAGTTACCACTCCTCCCTCTTGGGAAAATCCCAGAACTTGCTCAAAGACAACCTACAATACCCAACATGCTACTCTCCGGAAGAAAATGTATAAAAACCACATAAATCATGTAGATGGTGACACAAAAGTTTTACAACTGTATAAGCTGGAAGGTTAGGGACATACCTTTGTGTCACACTTGTTTAGACAGTGACATGGCTTTTAAATCAGTGTACGTCAATCATGCAACTACACATTTTTCAGCATAAGTATGGCAGAGATGACAAGAATTAATGTAACTGGTAACAGCCACTTAACATCTGAAGAAAAGCAGCTCCTAACTGGGTTGCCATGCCACAGTATCGAGCAAATAACACACTGTGAACTCTATCTTGTTTATACTGACAACCATATTTATTTATTTTAATTTCAACCTGGCATGCTGTATCTGCAAGGAATGTCAGCAACCTCAGGAATCATGACCTTCTCTCAACATAAAAGAAAACCACAGGAAAAGATAACGAAAAGAGCTGTGAACAGGTCACTCAAATTTTCTGCACCAAAGAGACTAGCGTACATGATACGAGAGATCAACAAAGCAACTTCAAAAATTTAATGTTACAAAAAGCTTCAAATTGCAAATTCTTGGTTTTCTTCATACGGCAAAAAATTAGAATAGCCTCATATATAACTGAAAGCACAGGAGAGAAATATCCCTTTAAAAAGCTGTTCAAGAGTTCTACTCACAGTGCATAACATTTCTCTCAAAGTTGGAAAGAAAGCCATTTGGTTCTTAAACAGAGCAATAATACCTAGCACATGCTCTCAAGCAAAGACTGCGTGTAAGCTATTTAAATTCGTGTTAGTTATTCAATGCACCTGTTAAATGAAGGACCACTTTATGAAGTTTATTTTTGATATATGAAAGATTTCAAGCATGCATGTAAAGTAAGTCTAATCTATTGTTTCAGTATCTAAAGCAAGCAAATGTATTTTTGTGGTAAGCAAAGACAGGGAAGGCCTTTAACATTACTATAGAAAGGCTCGGAGGAAGGCAAAGAGTAACAGCATCTCAAGTGGTTAAAAAAACTAACTCAAAACCTAATTTAATATACATAATGAATTTAACACCTTTTGTTAGATCTAAGAAATGAACTGGTGGGGTTTTTTTTCATATGTATATGCAAAGAAGTATACAAAAAGAAGTATACAAGATCCACTGCGGCTTACACTAGTATCTTTCGACACCCATCTCTCCCCCAAAAACTCACCTGTCATATATTCTATTAATGCAAAAGCAACAGAGAAAACAGAAAAAAAAAAATCCAGATACTATTCTGAAATATACAGCGCTCAATGGAATGATGTACCTATGTACACTGGTAAGAGCTGTAACACCACCTTGGTCTTTTACCTCCCAAAGAACCAAGTTGCCCAAAATCCTATTTCTCCTCTCATAACATTTGACAGGCAGGTCGATACTACACACATGGAAAGATGTTTGTTTGACAGGAAAAATCTTCAGTCAGAGATCAACAATACCTAAACTCTAGCCTATCAATAGTCTAGACATTCAGACATGATTAGAGAAAAAAAAAACACCAGAACACCCACACCCCCGCCCTCAAAACCAAACCAAACACCCCCCTTGAAAAACAAACAAAAAAAAAATCACACCACCCTGCCCCCAATCCCAGAAATCCACTATGTTTATTTCATGCAAAGGAAGTTTCTTGAATTCAGGATTTCATTGGCTCTTTGTAATCCTTTATACACAGTTACTAACTGAAATTAATAATTAACCAATGAATTTCTACTAGCTTTTCAATATAAAATAACTTTGTGAAGACATGGTATTAGACAAATAAGATAGGCCTTCAACTTCCATAAATAAAGGCATTCTTGTCTAATTACTACCACTTTCTTGCAATTTACCACAGAAAATGAATTTACCTCTCTAAAACGGGAAATCAAGAATTTTTTTTTACGTATAGTTAAAAGGAAACATAAATGGCAAAATATTTTAAGCATGAAAAGCAAACCAGGCAGCATCTGTATTTCCCAGTCTGATAAGCAAGAAAAGTATGCATCTGTAGAACAGTTTAGCTTCTCTCCTTTGCTCTCCCTGAACAGGAAGAAACTGACTTAAGAATAAAGTGACAGTTATTAACCTAAGTAATTAAAGATTCAATAAAATGAAAGAGACATCCAAGTCCTCTCCGACTGTATTCAAAAAATACTAAGGAAAAAAGAAAAAAAACCCCACAAATTCTGTTATCATACTTACTCTGAGCCTGCAGCCATTTCCAAATAAGAAGTATCTGCTGTGTCAACCCCCAATGGGATCACTATGCTCATGACGTTCGTTTCTGATAAATTCGATTACTACGGAGTCCTATGCATTGGTATCCAAAACACTGGGGCATGCCAGCCACAGTGCTCATTGCAAACATCTAAGTGCATCCACAAACCCTGTTAAAAAAAAACAACAAAAAAAAACACAACAAAAAAAACAGAAGACTGAGTTAGTTCATTTTAAAACCAGGCAATTTTACATCACTTTTTAAAAAAAAAAAAAACACCCGAAAAAACCCCAACAACAACAACAAAACAATCACTTTTATTTGTCACAATGATTTCATTAGTTTTCTTTTACAAAAGCCAAAGGGAAAGAAAACATTCAATCTTCTTTAAAAGTTGTTAACTTCAAATACACTTATTTTAAGAGTGTGATGATCTTAAGGTCTGAACTTAAAAATATTATAAACTGACAAAAATACTATCATTTAAATCAGTGATTTTAAAAAAAAAAACAAAAATCTTTCATCACATTCAGTGAGGTGACAGAGAATGACTTTGTAGCAGACTTAATGAATGTGAAGTACATTTGCTTACTGCTCTATGTTGTCAGAGTCCAGTTGCTGTACCTTACAATAGAAACCTGGGTACAGAATTTTTTACGTATTTCTTAGAGAGCATTGTTCACTTTTGTTTTGTAGTTTAAAAAGACAATTTTCTATGTCCACAATACAAACCAAGGATGTCAAAAGAAACAATGTCATAACTTCCACTATTTTTTAAAACAAAAATAATTCTAATGATTTATAATAATAGGAAACAATTTCCATCTCATTTTAATAGATCATCATCAGAAGATATTATAGCCATCCACTGCCACTTTTAGAAGTGTTTTCTTTTTAAGTAGTAAACTAAAAAGAGTCAGTAGTAGTTTTGAATTGTAGAGCAAAGCTACAATCCACTTGACTTGCACAAGTGAATACAACAATCCTACTTGTATGCCAGTTACCACTAACCTCCCACTCCCCTTACTGAGTAGGGCAAAACACCCAATCAAATACAGGAGAGATGTACATTAGCACCTCAGCTGTCTCTCTTCACAGATGAATAAACTAATGCATTTTTATATCCTAATATAGACAAAGTTTTCCACAAATGACTAGGTAATTGAAGTAAAATAGCCCCATCTTGAATACTTGCATAATGAATAATTGCAAACTCCCTCCAAAATTTCAAAATTGCAAGAACATAGACCGCTTTGCAATGAAGCGCATACAGTGCCTAATAAATACACTCCTCCCCTCTGACAAAGTCTAGTATCTTAGTTAAAGTCTACACAAGTCCAACAGTTTCAAGATCAACATATTTTAACACTCTCATCTTTGCTAAACACTAGATTGCCAAGAAAAAACTAACAAGCCTCCAGTGAAAAATGGGGTACTTATAAAAAGGACTTCGGAAAAGCATTGTGGACTTAAATCAGAATTTGCTCCTTTTATTGGTAAGGTCGGTATCTTCAGGATGATGAAGTGGCATCTACAGGGCATCTCTAAGGTATGACCTGGCACCAAGTCTTCATCTAAGCTCTTGAATTTTATCTCACTACCAAGTCTGGCAATTAACATCAAATATCTTGGCATGCTCTTAAGTGTCTAAACCTTCTACAGTTCTTTCTTCCTCTAGGTAGCAGAAGTTGTGTTTTGGTTCCATTACACGAGTCATCAAATACAATGAACTGGAAACCAATCAGGCCAACTAGCTGTTGGGATATCTTGCTTTCTTCATTTAAACACTGAGCATTTTCTTATCAAATACCACAAATGTCAAACTGTATCACTAACTATGCATAAAATTAAGGAAAAAACTCTATTTTCAAGAACAAGCAGCAAGAAAAACCTGTTAAACCAAAACCAGGTATAGAATATTTTTAGTAGCAGGCATAAAAGAAACCCCAATCTCCTCTTACAGTTTTTAAGTGAGCACTCATTCTGTCACTATATAGTTTACTTATAGGGTATAACCTTGAATGGCCTCATCTACAACTTAACAGGAAACATCAGCTTACCATTTAGTTCTCTTCTTCTAAGAAAGTAAAAAATTTGTATTAATTCCTACCCAATATTTGAAAGAAAGCCATCAATTTTTTAGTTCAGATAAATTGGCTATCATAGGTTAAGGGTTGTTCCACTGCCAACTGCAATTTCACCTATGCTAACAAATCATTAGCATAATTGAAATTTTATGTTTGTTACTAGATAATTCTAAAAAAGTTCTAGTGTTTGGAAGTATGTCTAAAGGACATACTGGACACCACTACCTGGGATCAAGGTCCTCACTTAGACATTTCTCGCACTTAAAAGGTGCTTGTGGTTGTGGTGTGGGTTTTCTTAATTGAATTTTCTTTAAACACTTCTGACCAGGTACAGTAACAACTGGAAATTAATGTAGGCAAAAATGCCCTGGAGACTGACGGGAATGAAGAACCTGCCTTAGACAGCTGCCTCATGGGCTATGACATCTGCAAATTCACATAAAACAACTGAGGTTACCCAATCATCACATATTCATGTGACCTTCATTGTCAAAACAGAAAGAAGAGATATGGTTACCAAATTTGAGAACCAAGTGAAATTTGGGGGTTTTATTTTTTTTTTTTAAGTAATGTAGAAGAAGAAAAGAGAGCTATGTATATGTTTTTAGAGCTATGTATAGATAGAAAATTAACTGCTAATGCATGGCCCAATTAATGCCATCATCTCCGACCAAGTAAATACATCACCGCTAATGTAAGAAATAAAAAAAAAAAAGGGGGGGAGTAAAGCCAAGATAAACTTCTTATCATACTGCAAGCTACTGAACTACATCTTTAAGCCTTAGTCAGAGTTCACTCAAAAATTCTGAGATGAATCTACACTGAACAAAATCAGAAACTTGAGGAACTTAAATTTATTTTGCCAAACAGCATTAAGCAGAAGTTGTTTCATCTAAAAGGAAGCAGAATATGATTGTAACACTATCTCCTTATTTTTTACTACCTTAAGATTTCAGGTCTTCACCACACACACACAAAACCCTCCAATGCTTTTCCTCTGCCTATAGTTAAATACAGAAGAACAGAGGCAGTCATTGCCTCACAATACCTACACAGGCAAGTTAATCCAAACAAACATAGCTCATTATTTATGAGTAGCCATCCTCAACAAATTCCCATAATGGGGGCGGGGGGAGACCCACAATAAATTCATTACACTATGCCCACTTATTAACAGAACTGTAACCTCATAGGCCATCCCAATGACGAACACCACAGTGATGTCGTGACTGGCATGAAGGAAAATAATTATTTTCTGTCATATAAGAACCAGAAGTACTGTCATGACATACTAAAATATTCCCAGTATTTTTATTGGATTATACTACAAAAATTGGGAAGTTCAGAACCGAAAATAATGTGACCGCTGCAGAACTTTCTTCCTTAGCCCTCTTAAAAGTGATTCCTTATCCTTTGAAGCTTTGTATTTTAGATGAGTCATAAAATACTATCTGCTATCATAATATGGTACTTTCCAACTGCTGCAAGTACCCATCTATTTCAAGTCATTTTTCTTTCAGAACTCTGACAATCTGTCACCCATGGCCTTAAAAGAAATTGTTTTCATTAGTTGTATTTTATTTAAATAATTGTCCAGAAAGAATAGTAAGAGTGCTAGAGAAGCCCTCCTACAATCAAAGTAGATTATACACAATTTACTGTTTAAGAAAGTCTTTCTTCAAGCAACACACCAATTTGAAAGTTAAAAAGACCACACTCATTTGTCCAGTTAATTTCAGGGTCATATAGTTAAAAGGCATTATATAAAAACTGCTGGTCCAAAGTTCAACTATCAGCTCTATTGAGCAAAGCAGCTCCTCTACTGTACCTTCATCTCAACAGTAGAGGATGTCCAGTTTTGTTAGGGCCCACTCTATTCTTCCAGTGATCACACACTGTAAGCTTTGAAAGAATTTTGGCAATTTCTTAGATTCATAAGATCTTCTTCATTACCACCATACCAGCATTGCTTTATTATAGGAAAATACATTCCTTATTTGAAGAAACTTTGCTTTTGTTTAATTTTAGTTAAAAAGTTTATCCTGCCCTAATAAATAATACAATTTTCATCTAAAAAACAAAAAAATTTTTCTTCAATCCAGTTAAAGCATTTATCTTGTGCAAGATCTCCCGCAAAAAACTTCTCACACTTTGCCATTCAATCACATTGGTTTACATTTTCTAGGGCAGTTCTTCTCCTCTCTGGAGACTACACAGGAGCTTTTTGACTTAATAGCCATATCAAGTCTAAAAATATCTGAAGTCTCATCATACTTCTCATGATCCACTTTGTTTATGATATCAGAACTTTTTTTTTTAATTAATTGTGCTCTAACAACAAAAGTATAAGAGCATAATACATTCCAAATTATTCATATGTATGGCTTTGTACAAAGAACATCATTTATGCATTAAACAACAAAAAATAATGTATTATCCCCGAGGTATTCCACTTACACAACATTATTCTGTGGTCTAACGAAGACCACATGTTTCCTTTCTGCCATGTCCTTCTAAGATCAATTGTGTCAGCAGAAGAAAAAACTTAACTTTTCACTGGTACAGAGAAAAAAAAAAAACAAAACAAACCACAAATATAAAGGGCTCAGCTCTTCAATCAGAAGGTAAATGGGTAATCTCCTGAAATTACATCACCATTTTTGAACCTAACCCTACAGGGTCCAAACATTCAAAATGAAACCCAGTTGCTATGATCAGATGTTGGTAAAAAGGAACTCCAGGTCTACTCTGTCAGCATGTCTTTTTCCCCCTCCTTCCACTTGCTTCTTGTAGGACCCTCAAAACCTATGTAGAACAGTTTCAGGAAACAAGCAGATGATAGATCACCTAGACAGAAAGTCCACTTGAAAAATAAGAACTTGAAGTCTAGCCAAACTGTCCAGATGACTCCAACAAGGTTTCATAATCCCAGCTATCAATCATCCTCTAAGTGTCAAGAGTCCAGACAAATCCTTCCATGGCATTTTTCACGTAAGTTTCTTTTTGTTTCTTTTGTTTTTTTTCTAAGAAGGTAGGAAAAAAATATTTTTAAGAAACATTTAACTGCTTTTACTTGCATTTT